TTACCCATCATCTGCACTAAATTTCTCATATAGATTTATATATTTTTATATATATATATTTGTCATAGGTCTATAAGATCCATCTGTTTCTCCTACCCTAAGGAATGGCTAAAATTCTCAGGTCCTATTTTTTTTTTTCCGTTTCGTTTTGTCGGGATGTTTTTGCTGGTTTTGGGAATATTTCAGGAATCTGTCATCCCGGAGGATAAAGAGCAGAAACACCAACCCCCCAAAACAAACACAAAAAAAAAACCCACCTCATTTTCCGTCGTTTTCCCTTAGTTTTGTTTGTCTCATTTTCCCCTCTTCAGAAGTACACTTTTTATCATTATTGCAAGTTTACCTTTTTTTGTTGGTTTTTTTTGTTTGTTTGTTTTTAAATTAAATATTTTTTTTTAATCCTCAGGCTTTTACAAATTCTTTGTGGTTTTTTTTTTTTTTTTTTTTTTTTTTTTTTTTTTTTTTTTTTTTTTTTTTTTTTTTTTTTTTTTTTTTTTTTTTTTTTTTTTTTTTTTTTTTTTTTTTTCCAAATAAAAAAAAAAAAAACACTGAAAACCCACCAAAAAATAAAACAAAAACGAAACTGAAAAAAAGCCAACCAAACCCAAAAAACCCAAGGAATTTTAGGCACAAATGCATTGTCCCACAGTGTGGAAAAAGATTGCCATTCAGTCTCGGAATTCCAAGTTGGACATTCTGCTTGATATGTTCAAAGAGAGTCATCCCTCCAGAAGTTGCACTTTTTTTGTTTCGTTTTTTTTCTTGTTGGGTTCCGTGGGTTTTTTTTTTGTTTGTTTGTTTTTTTCCCTTGGGAATGCTGGAATCTCTTTTTGCGTCTGGGATTCGGAACTGCTCAGACTTGTCTTATCTTTACAAAACAAAGGGGTTTCGCAAGGAGAAGTGTTTATGTGGGAATTTAAGAGAAATACATCGGATAAGGAAGTGGTCTCTCGCTTTTCCAGGCAGGAATGCGGCGACTTGGACCTGTGGGAGAAGGGAAAGGGCTTGTCAGAGGTGGGAAAGGGAGGGTTTGGCCCACCCCTTTCCCAGGAAACTGCCCTGCGAATTGAGGGCCCCAAAAGTCACTTGAGAAGAGGCAGAACATCCCAAATATCCAACCTCGATTTCAACCCTGATACCCACCCCAATTATGCGTTACTGTCCATCCCTAATCCCAGCCCTAATATCCAACCCTCATTTCCAGCCCTAATATCCAACAGTAATATCCATCCCTAATTCCAGTCCTATTATCCAACCCTAAAATCCATCCCTGATCTCCAACCCTGATATCCAACCACAATATCCAAACTCAATATCCATCCCTCATATCCAAACCTGACATCCAACAGTAATATCCATCTCTCATTTCCACCCCTAATATCCAGTGCTGATACTGAACCCAAATATCCATTAATATCCATCCTTAATATCCAATACTAGTATCCAACCCCAAAATCCAACATTAATATCCATCCCTGATATCCAATACCAATATCCATCCCTAATATCCAATACTAGTACCCAATCCCAAAATCCAACATTAATATCCATCCCTAATTTTCAGCCCTGATATTCACCCCTAACATCCAACCTAAATACTCATTCCTAATATCCATCCCTAATATCCAATTCTATTATCCAACTCCAATATCCAACAATAATATCCATCCCTTATTTCCAGCACTGATATCCAACCCCAGTAATCCATCCCTAATATCCATTCCCAATACCCAACAGTAATATCCATCCCTAATTCCAACCCTAATATCCATTTCCCATATCCAACGCCACCCTTTCCTGACCCAATTCCCAGCATTCCCTCGGGTGCCCAACAAAGGGACCCACAGGAACATCCTGGAGCTGCACCAAGGTGGGGTTAGGTTGGAATTTAGGGAAAGGATCTTCATCCAGAGGGTTGCTGGGCACTGCAATCCCCATTCCCAGGGAATCCAGGAGCGTGTGGACATGGTGGGATTTTGGGGTTGTCCAGGGGCCAGGAGTTGGACTGGATGATCCTTGTGGTCACCTCCAACTCAGGACATTAATTCCATGATTCCATGATCCCTCCCCATGCAGAACACCCGGGAACGGTCCATTCTGGAGGTGACTAATCCCAATCCTACCTTTTTACATCTGTCCCATGTGATTGGAGGCATCTCCCATCCCAGGGTGGGGTCCTGCCAGGGACAGTGGGGGCGGATCTGAGGAGACCTTCTCTTCTTCCCTTCTTTTCAGGCACGCGGCCTTTGGATTCAGATTCCGTTCTAGGAGGGAAAGGAGACGTCAAACATCCCCATTTTCGGATCACGGAGCTCCAACATATCTATTTTCACCTCACGGAACTCCAACATCCCAATTTCCAGCTCCTGAAACTCAACCACCCCAATTCTCAGCCCCCTGAGGTGGGACAAGCCCCCTGAGTCCCACCACTCCTGCAATTCCTCACAGACGGTGTTGCACCCGAGCGCTGCCCCGGGACTGACCTCGGACCTGCTGCTCCAGGCTGAGGATGACGGCCACGGCCTGGTGGAGGATGAGGAGCTTGGTCTGGGGCTTGTCGCTCTTGAGGTGGAGCTGCACCATGCGGCCCAGCTCCTTGAAGGCCTCGTTGATGTCGCGCACGCGCAGCCGCTCCCGCGCGTTGTTGGCCATGCGCCGCTCCTTCTCCCGCTCCGCCTTCTGCTCGGGGGTCAGGTCCTCGTCGTCGTTATTGCTGTGGGATGGAAGGGACACGGCATTTCCAACCAAAGCTGTGGTCAGGAATTTGAGGAGCAAGGGTTTGGTGGGGAGGTTTGGTGAGGGGGGGAATTGCGAGCCATTTAGCCAAAGCTTGTTGTTGGATTGGGGGATTATTAAGTTAGAAAAGGCCTCTAAGGCCATGGGGTCCAACACCAACCCATGTCCCCACGTGCCATATCCACATGGATCTGAAATCCCTCCAGGAATGGGGATTCCACCCCTGCCCTGGGTGGCCTCTCCTGGGGCTTTAATCCCAAAGGGATTCAGGAGAATCCTTCTCCGCCACTGAGGGCGGTTGGAGGTGCGAAAGGCACTGGGTTTAAATCATGGAATCCTGGAATGGTTTGGGTTGGAAGGGATTTTTAAGGATCATGCCATTCCACCTCCTGCCACGGGTAGGGACACCTTCCACTATCCCAAGTTGCTCCAAGTCCTGTTCTACTGGGCCTTGCACATTCCAGGGATTGGACAGCCACAGCCAATGATAAAACCCAGCTCTAAACTTCTACAAAATCCATACAGAATTTACTAAGGCTCCAAACCCTCGGAATTTACAGCAACCAAGGACTGGGAATGACAAATATTATATCAAAGCAAAGCAAATCCAACTGTATTCCAATTTGGAAGCACAGGATGAGAGGGCTAAGAGCCTAATCGATTGATTTTGGCCTAATATAATCTGTCAGTGGCCAAATTTGGGAACTGTTGTAAAGGGAGGCCGTCCCGGAGCACAGGTCCCCCAAAAGCGGCGGGTCCTGCTGGGCCGGGCGCTCCGTGATTCCGCCTGTTCCGTTCACTTCATCGAAATCCACGCAGGAATTAAATGAAGCGACACTCTTTCTCCCGTTACCTAGATCTTGACCTAGTAATGGATTTGATATCCTTCTTGTCATCCTCCAGTTTCTTGTCCTCTGAAGACTTGGTGTCCTGGAGGTTCTCGTCGCCCTCATCGTCAGATTTGATCTCAGAGCTGCCCGACGAGACACTCTGGCCTTGCAGTCCTGTCGGGATTCCTGCAGGAAAACAGGGAGGGCAGGTCAGGGAGAGCTTCAAACAGCCCTTGGGTTGGGATGGAAGGGTTTTTATGGATCATCTCGTTCCAAATCTCTGCTATGGGCAGGGGCACCTCCCATTGGCCCAGGTTGCTCCAACCTGGCCAGTCTGGCTTGGAAAGGATTTGAAGGAACCTCATTCTAATCCGTCTTCCATGGGCTGTGACATCTTCCACAAGACCAGGTTGCTCCAAGCCCTTACCCATCCCAGCTCATTCCAAGAGCAACCACCGGCTCAGGGACCGCAGGTGGATTCAACAACAAGCCACCCCTCAATTCCCAGATCCTGGACAACCAGGAGGCTGAGCTCACCGAATGGTCCTGCCAGAGCACGACAATTCCAACAGGGATGCGGGAATGTCCACTCACCCCTGTAGGGATCCTGGGGCGGGTTCAGGTCCGGGGACGTGGCTGACTGGACGGGAAGCTGCGGGACAGGCACCTGGTTGGGCACGAGCGAGTGGCTCCCGCGGAGGCTCACCCCGTCCTCCCGGTGCGCTCCCACCTGCGGGACACGGGAACGCTCAGCACACCCCCGGCGCTCTGCCCGTGGGCTCGGGAAAACCCCTGGGACACTCGCTGTTCCTCCCCCACCAAACGGGTGCGCAATTCCGCCCGGGATTGGAGGAGCAAGGGTTTGGTGGGGAGGTTTGGTGAGGGGGGGGTTATTGTGAGCCATTTAGCCAAAGCTTGTTGTTGGATTGGGGGATTATTAAGTTAGAAAAGGCCTCTAAGGCCATGGGGTCCAACACCAACCCATGTCCCCAAGTGCCCATCCATATGGATTTGAAATCTCTCCAGGAATGGGGATTCCACCCCTGCCCTGGGTAGCCTCTCCCAGAGCTTTAATCCCAAAGGGACTTGGGAGAACCCTTCTCCACCACTGAGGGTGGTTGGAGGTGCCAAAGGTACTGGGTTTAAATCATGGAATCCTGGAATGGTTTGGGTTGGAAGGGATTTTTAAGGATCATGCCATTCCACCTCCTGCCATGGGCAGGGACACCTTCCACTATCCCAGGTTGCTCCAAGCCCTGTCACACCTGGCCTTGGGCTGGGGCAGCCACAATCAACGATAAAATGTAGCTCTAAACTTCCCAAAAAGGGAAATCCCAGGAAGCCCAAGCCCCCAGATTGCTCGGGATGAGCCCCAATCCTGGGATGCTTCTCATGGAGGTCACAGATGGTCCATGGCCATGACAGACACTCTGGCAGGTAAAATGTCATTCCCATTCCCAAGGTGCCTCCCGGATTCCTTCCCATCTGTCCCCTCTCCAGCACAGCTGACAATTATCTCCAGGCCCATCTGTTTAATTGGGGGCCCCACAATTTCCCCCCGGAGTCGGGAAATCCAGTGGGAATCGAGAGTTGGCAGCACGCTTGGAATGGCGGCTCGGCTTCCTGACATTCCGAGTGTCCCTGCATTCCTGACATAGGAGACACAGCCATAGGGATTTATTAACCACCCCATCCCCAACCCAAAGGGATACGTCCCTGTCAGCTCAGGGTTCTACCTTCCCTAAGGAAAAGGGGTGACTGAGGAGAGGAAGTAATGACCAGGAGGAATTAGTGGGGACAGGAGGAATTGGGATTCAGGAGGAATGGAAATCCAGGAAGCTGCTCCCTCATCCCAGACAGGTTTGGATTGGGAAGGACCCCCAAGCCCATCCCCTTCCACCCCCAAACTTCCCAATGCCAGGATGACCACAGCAACATTTCTTGGTCCTTTATCCTATGGGATAAATCCAGCAGGGAATTGGAAGGTGCTGTGTGTTAACCCAGGGCCTAGATAGGCCAGATTCCAAAGCCAAGCCCAGCTGAACCTGGCTTAACCCCCTCAGCAAATCCATCCCATCCCACTGGATGTGTGTATTCCAAATGATTCCCTTCCCCGGCCCTTTCATGTGGCTGCCATCCCATAATAGTTGCCAGATGAGAGCTGGCCAGGCTATAAATAAGATCAAAAGGGAAGGAAAGGATTTAATCAGCACCAAAAAAAAAAACCCAGCGAGGGAGATGAAAGCAGGGAAAAGGCAAAGTTCAGGAGCCTTTTTCCACAGGAAACTTGAGTTCTGACAGAAAACTCCCTTTTTCTCCACAGAACTCCCCTTTTCTCCAGCAGAAAAATCCCTTTTCTTCTACAGAAAATTCCACTGGGATGCTCCCATTCCCATGGAGCAGCTCTTACTGGGATGCTCCTACACCACTGAGATTCTCCTGTCCCAAGTGGATATTCCTGTTCAACTGGGATGCTCCCATTCCCAAGGAGCAGCTCTTACTGGGATGCTCCTGCCCCACTGGGATTCTCCCATTCCCATGGGGCAGCTTCCCCTGGGATCATCCAGTGCCAACCAGATTGTCCCATCCCCACGGCATCCTCCCGGCCCGCGCCCCCCGGGGCACTCACCATGATGGAGTGGCGGTTTGCCGAGAGCAGCCCGGTGCCGTAGCCGGCGCCCAGCCCGGCCATGGCGCCATTGTGGGCGCCCAGCAGCCCGTGCATGTCCCCGTGGGCGCCGGCCATGGGGGCGGCTCCCACCGCGTGGTTCCTCAGCACGTGGATGGCGTCGTCCAACCGCTCCAGCCGGTCCTCGATCCGGCTCTGCTGCAGGGTGGGAAAAGCAGGAACAGCGTGAGGAGCCCGCCCCGGGACACGGCCAGGCCTCCCTGCTCAGCCCCTTGTGCTTCGACCTCGTTAGCCCTGGATTTGCTAGGTTTTCCTTGGATTTTTTCTATCTTAAGGAATAGGTTTGCTTCTCTAGGCAATGCCGAACCCTAGGGAAGGCTGAGCCCCGGGGAACGTTGAACCCTACGGAATGTAAACGAGTCCAGCTTTGATTTTCATGGGCAAAACAGGTTCAATGATTCCTCATGAACATGAATCAGGCCAGGACAGCGTTTGCCCTCCAGGTCTCAGCAGAGTTGGAGTGAGAGCGACGTCAAAGAAGGATTCAAAAACATAAAATTCCAAAGCAAAATCAAAAAGAAAAGCAGGAGAAGGAAAGAAATGAAGAGGTTTTGCTGCTGTTTTCCTCCCCACCCAAATAATCCCAGGATCACACACGGAGAGGAGGAGGAACTACCAGGTCCCACAGCCACGAGGGTTTGATCCCTACAGGTCGGAGCTTTAGGGATCCCAAGGGATGGGGAACTTCAACAGGACACTTCCCAAGTCCCCCAGGGCCAAGGAATCTCAACAGGATAGGGCCCAAGTGCTGGAGAACCTGGAACCTCAACAGGAAGGTCCCCAAGGGATTAGAAACCTCACCAGGACAGTCCCCAAGTCTCCAGGTGCTGGAGAATCCCAACGGGACAATCCCTAGGGTTGTGACACTCCCCAGGACCCTGAGCTGCCAAGGGAATCAGGCAGAGCTGCTGGAGCTCCTCAGCAGAGCCCCCAGCCATCCCCTGCTCACCAGAACCTCCACAGGAAAGCCTGGAAAACACTGGCTTCCATCAGCACAAGGATTACTGGATCCTAATTTCTGACTCCGGCAAACTTCCCGACACTTTCAGCTGAGACCATCCCCTCCCTCGGTCCATGGGGACAGGACCACGACCATCATCACTGTCACTCCAGGGGACCTCACCATCACTTCCATCACTCCACAGGGAGAGGACAAGGACCATCCTCTGCCTCATTCCATGGGGATCTCTGATTGTCATCTCCCTTGTTCCATGAGAAGACCCTTGACCGTCACCTTCGTCATTCGCCATGGAGAGAACCCTGACCATCATCTCCCTCACTCCATGGAGAGAAGACCATGACCATCATCCCCATCACTCCAGGACCCCTAACCAACATCTCCCTCATTCCAGGGGAGCCCCTGACCATCTCCAGGGGACCCCAGACCATCCTCTCCCTCATTCCATGGAGATTCCTCACCATCATCTCCCTTATTCCACAGGGACCCCTGACCATCCCCTCCCTCATTCCATGGGGATCCCTGATCATCCTCTCCCTCACCCCACAGGACTCATGGATGCACCATCCTGCATCCACCGCATCTTCCTACTCCCATCCATCCACCCATCCATCCACCCCATCTCCCTCCTCACCCTCTTTCCTGCTCCTCACCCCCCTTTTTCCAGCAGATCCCAACATCCCCTTTTCCTCTCGGGAGCACCTCCAACCCCCCCCCCGCCCCAGCTCCACCAGGCACGGTGGGACAACAATTCCTGGGCCGCTCTGGGCGCACAAAACCTGCGGGGGAGGAACCGGCACGTGGGACGGAGCGCGACACCAAGGAACGCAAGGAATTCCCGCAGGAAGGAGGTCACCGGTTGGAACATACCAGGGAGTGTAAGGGACCTTCATAATTGGGAGATGATGACGCTTGACCTCCATTCCTAGACCAAACAGCTGTTCCTGCTAATAAGTAAAATCGGAGTTACCGTTGGAACTGGGCGAGCGCAACGTTCCCGACTTTTCTGGGACACTTTTTCCGAGCTGTGGGAATGGCCTATGCCGAGCCAGAGCTTCCCAAGGCGCTCCTCAGAGCGCCAAAGGCTTCAGCGCAACTGCTGCGCTCGGAGCCAAACCTTGGCCTTGCTGTGCTGGGAGGAAAGGCATTTCTGCTCTTCGAGTTTTCCATGGAAAGATCGGTCTCTGTGCCAACAGTGAAGGAAAAACGGGGAAAACCAGCTTTCTCCACTCTTTTCCCAAAGGCTTCTGGGGAAAAGTGGCTTTCTCCACTCTTTTCCCAAAGGCTTCTGGGGAAAAGCGGTTTTTTCTGCTCTTTTTCCAATAGATTTTGGGGAAAAGTTCTTTTCCGCTCTTTTCCCCAGTGGTTTTTGGGGACTGATCAGATTATGCTGGATATGATTTCTGATGTTCTATTGGATCTTCTGAAGGATCCCATAAAATGGAAATGGGAATATCAGGATTGGAGTCTGAATTCCCATCAGACTGGGATTTGTTTGGAATGTCAGGCCAGGATGGAACTCATGGCAAATGGTCTCTTATCTCTTTTATCCCTGAGGGAAATTTCCATGTGAAACAATTCCAGCTCTTCCATCAATCCACTTCTATTCACTAATTTTCTACACTGGTTTCACCCTGGGTTATCCCTATTTCCCACCGGGAAGCAGCACAGCCCAAACTATCAGGGAATTCTCCCTCTGGTTTGGCCCCCTCTGTAGGGAAAGGAAAAGAGACACAGAGTCCCTTCTGAATTCAGGGGTAATTCCAGGGAAAATAAGGATGGGAAGCTGTTTTTTGTGCTGTGGGACCCCCCAAGCCAGGCCAGGTTTCATCTCGATTTTATGGGATGAAGGTGCTCTCCTGGACCTGCCCTGACCAACCCTCCTTCCCAAGGGGTCTCATCCCTGTAGGGGATGTATGGAAAGTGGGATATCACCTGTGAGGATCAGGAACTCCCCATGGAGAGTAAGGGATGATCCCATTTTTCCCTGCCCCACAGAGACACAGAGGCCTCAGCTCCGGCTCCGGATTCCTGGTGAGTTAATTGGGATCCAAGGGAGTCTTGGATTGCACTTGGGCTCCAAGTGGGATTCTCCAGGGAGGTGGGATGTACTGCTGAGAGGAGGAGCCAGCTGGAAAAGGCTCACAGATTAAAAACTGGGAATTCCAGCCTGAGGAATATTTCCCCCACCTGATGCTCATGAGAACAACCCCGGGCCTCGGGATTTGGGGAATGGATGCAAACATTCCAATGAAGTGCAGGATCACAAAATCATGGAATAGGTTGAGCTGGAAGGGACCTCTAAAGGTCATTTAGTCCAACCCTGGGACACCTCTCACTACCCCACGTTGCTCCAAGTCTTGTCCAACCTGGCCCTGGAGAATTCCAGCTCCTCTGGACAACTTGTGCCAGTGTTTTATACTCCCTGATCCTAAAAAAACCTTCCTAAAATCCAACTGCCTGGATTTAGCTCCAAACCATCGCCCCACCGTTCCTGGGGGATGTCCCTGAGGGTGCAGGAAGCTCCACAGGGATAACCTGGGATATTCCCCTGGGAGCTGCAACAACCTTCCCTCCGCCCCAGAGGCGGGACAGTCCGGTTTGGGATGGGCGGCCCCGCCGGAGCTGGGGTAGGGATCTCTTCCCAAAAAAAAAACCCACCTTGGGAGGAACCGTTGCGGAAAATAGAATCATAACAATACCTGAGAGAGAAGGGGGAGAACCAACAGGAGTTGAAGGATTTGATGAAAAGCTGTTGTTGGTGTGATCTGGAGAATAGATCTTTAAAAGATGATACACAATTAATCTAAATAAAGCTGTCACAACCCAATCCAGAAAAAAAAAAGCTTGGAATTCTTATGCATTCCGTTCATTTCAATGAAAGCAGGACAGGTTCAGAAAATTCCTTCCGATCCGGTCAATTAACTCCAGGAGAGTTCAAAGCCTCTTGGCTGTGCCATTCGGCTCTTTGAGGCACAGGAGAGGAGGAAGCTGGACACCGGGTCCCTCGGGAAGGGACTCCAGGGACTGGGATTTCAGGGATCGGCTCCAACACCATTTTGTTGTCTCGACTTCATTTTATGAACGAGTGTCATGAGAACTCAAAGGAACCCACTGTGCCCAGAAAATAATAGGAATGGTCCTGGTTAAAGGGCATCCAGCACCACCGGGATAACGGGAACAGGGCGGGAATGTGCCAGCAGGAGCTGGGAAGCGCTGCATCCGGTTATCCCAGAAAAACATGGGAACTGCTGCCTTTAACAGCCACCACGTGAACTGGAGAGATGGAGCTGCCATGGAACAGAGAGAACCTCTGGGGAATTCCAGAGGAATTCTGTTGGAGGGCGGTCTGGGAGTGCAGGAGTCGTTCCTGCTGCTGGGTTCTGTCCTCCCTCTCCCGTGGAAAAGTGGGATGGACTAGGCACAGCTCAAGCCCTGCCCTCTTTCCACTCCTATCCTACCCTAAAATTCCCTCTAAAGCTTTCCCAACATTCCCTTTCCCCGATCATCCCTTATTCCAGCCGGCAGGGGCTCCAGGGGGGCAACCTGCTGCTCATCTCCAGCAACTCCAGCCAGAGAACTGAGACTCAAATTCCCTTCCCAAGGTGTCAACATGGGAATTCCAAAGTAAATGTTTCCTTACAGAGGCGAGTGCTTTCCCCAGGGCATCACCAGTCTGCGAACTTCCCGCTGCCCCACTTCCTCTGTTGGCTGCAAGGCAAAAAATTCCATGTAAATCCAGCCGGGAGAACATTCCAAAATTCCTTTTCCTGCCCCACCTGCAGGAATGAATGGCAAGTCCCTCAAGGAGGAAAGGATGGCAGAGGGTGGTTCCTTCAGGGGACAAACTCAAAACCAGGGATATTCCAGCCTGGAAAAGCCAAGCCAGGAGGCAGCAAGGCTCCAGGAAGCTCCTCCACATTGGGAAGCTCACACCTCATCCCATTCTGAGGGCAGGGACACCTTCTCCCAGCCCAATCCACGCCCTGGCACAATCCCAGGGATCAGGAATCCACAACCCCTAGGAGAACTCGGCCTCTGAGCCTGGTTTAGTTCCTCCTCTGTTCTCAGATCCTAAAAAAACCCCACCCTCCATTCCTCCGGCATTAGTCCCGCTCCGCGGTCCCGCCTGCAATCACATGCGTAATCCGAACCACATGTCCCGATTTCCCTGTCACTTAACTATGGAATCGCTCCCCGAGAGACCCTGCAAGCGGTTCTTATTTCCCATCTTTGACTATTCCCTGGATATCTGGGGACATTTGACCTCAGGGGTGGCTTTTCCCTCTCAGGGGGTGGCGGGATGTGCCCCCAGGTGATTCCCAGAGTTTGGGAGGAGCCAGCTCACCCAGGATGGTGTCGGTGCCATTGGCCGGAGGGGTGCAGGACGAGGCGCTGTAGTGGTTGGTCCCGCTCCGGTGGAACGTGGACATCGGAGGAAGACTGGAGTTGATGTCAGCTGAGGAGTGGGATGGGTAGCTCTGTGCCGAGAAAAACAGGGAGTGTTGGGATTGCAGAGAGGCTGGGATGCTGCTCATGGTGGCCCGAGGGTTGTTGGAAGGGATTTTAAGGATCATCTTGTTCCCATAGACCAGGTTATTCCAACCTGGACACTTGCACAGATGGAGCAGCCACAGCTTTTCTGGGAATTCCATCCCAGCCCTTCACCCCGCCTCCAGCCAGGAATTCCTTCCCAGTATCCCATCTAACCCAGTGGGAAGCCATTCCCTGTGTCCTGTCCCTCCAGGTCCTCCTCTCCAGTCCCTCTCCAGCCCTCCTGGAACCCCTTTAGGCCCTGGAAGGGGCTGTGAGGTTTCCCTGGAGCCTTCTCCTTTCCAGGCAGACATTCACAGCTCTCCCAGCCTGGATCCAGAGCAGAGGAGCTCCAGCCCTCGGAGCATCCCTGTGGCCTCCTCTGGACCTGCTTCAACACCTTCATGTTGGAGATCCCAGTCCTGGAAGTGTCCCAGCACTAAAATGGGTTGGGTGGGAAGGGATTTTAAGGATCATCTCATTCCCACCCCTTGCCATGGGCAGGGACACTTTCCACAGCCCAGGCTGCTCCAACCTGGCCTTGGGCACTTGCAGGGATGGAGCAGCCATGGATTCTCTGGGAAGTGCCCCTATCCCATCCCACCTCACTCCACCTCACCCCATCCCATCCCATCCCACTGCCCCTTCCCACGGGATCCTCACCAAGCGGTCGTGCGGGTGGAGGCTGCAGTAGCTGCTGGATTGGGGAATGTGGGAAGAGTTGCCCAGCATTCCCCCATAGCCAGGCTGGTTCATCCCGCTGGAGGAGCTCCAGGGGTCGCTGCTGTGGTGGCCATCTGCAAGACAGAAATCAGGGAATCAGGGAGTGCTTCACCTTGGAAGGCACATCCCACAGCGCCTGATCCACGGGCACACACTCCTCCCACCAGCCCAGTTTGCTCCAAGCCCATCCAGCCTGGCCTTGGGCACTTCCAAGGGTAAATCCTTGATATATCATCAGAATCCTGGTAATCTCCAGCTCTGGAATTCCAGACGAGGAATTCAGAGCTCTCAGGGTGATAATACATGAAAAGGATTAGGAAAAAATTCCTTCATGGAAAGGGTGCTCAAGCCCTGGAATAATCAGTAGTGGATTTCTATCCCTGGAAGTGTCCAAAAAACATGTGGATGTGGCACGTGGGAACATGGATAGTGGTGGCCATGGATGGTCAGACTTGATAATCTTGGAGGGCTTTCGCAACCTTAATAGTTCCATGACTTTCTGACACTTATCCTTAAAAAGTGGATAATTTTGCCCTCAATGTGGCAAAAATTGCGCAGTTGAATTTTACGTGGATCTTTTCAAACTCTGGGAATGTTAGTAATTAATTTATCCCAAATTCCTTTGCATTTCCATGTAATCACAACAACCTGGAAGCAGCAAAACCAGGAAAAATTCAGGATTCAGCCTCATTTTAACCCTGTGGCTCTAATTCCACATGCAGGGAAACGGGGAGATGGAGACAGGGCTTTCAGGGCAGTGATCCCAAAATGCCTCAGCTATGGATAAATTAAATACAAGCCTGGAAAAAAAAAAGCTGGAAAACCTATTTCCTTCCTACCTTGCATGAAGAAGGAGCTGGGAAAAGTGCTGGCTGCTGGTTTGGAGGAGGGATAACCCGGAGAATCCCTGTTGTAGTCGGCAGTACTGGCTGAGGGAGCATAAACCTGGGGAGAAAAAAAAGCCTCATTTAGCCCCAAAATCCAGTTTTACGGCCAAATCCCTGCCCAATTCCCCTGGAACGCAAAACCCGTGTGACTGGAAAGTCAATTCCCAGCTTCAAAAGCGGCTCCAGACTGACATTTTCCAGCTTGGAGAGGGAATATTTGTCCAAGTCTGGGTTCTGTAAATCCAATTAGGCAGCAGATGGACATGTGTTCCTCCTCAAGCCTCCCGGAGCTTAAAATAAACAGGAACTGGGAACAATGAGGAGGTTTTTTTGGGATGTGGCCTTCACCCACCTAGGCACACAACTGAAACCACTCCAAAATTCCCGGTTTTCGGCCGGGAACGCGTTAATTTCCCAACCACACCGGTACCGGCAATGTGGAATTACAGCGTTATCCCGGGATGTGCAATTCCCAGGGATCCAGCTTGCAAGGAGCCTGCAAAAGCTGGAGCAGCACGAGACCACCAACACAGTGCAGGGACACTATGGGGAGAAAACTCTGCCTCTCCCCAGAACAGCTCGATTCATCCCTGCAGAAAGCCGGGAGTGGGTGCCAAACACTCCTCGCTCCCAGTTTTCCCTAAGCCACCGGAGCCCGGCCGCTGGAACTCCCCCTCTGAGCTGAGCAGGGAATGGGAAGGCTGGATGCCCCCAGCCGGGCCAGCTGGATGAAGGGAATGTGCTGTGTAGGGCGGGCCGGATTCCCGCCGCTCCCGCTCTCCAGATGGTCGGGAAGGCTGAATCCCTGTCATCTCCTTGAGGAAAATGGATCCCTTCCTGCCTCCATTTTGAAGCGGCAGCAGCTCCCAGGAGTTGGCACCACGCCCGCTCCCGGCACTCGCGGAGAGCAGGGAAGAGAAATCCAGGGAAGCGTGGCTGGAAGGGCTTCTCTCCTCAGAAACTCCCCCTGAAAATAGGGAGAGAAGGGCTGGGGGGGGGGGGATGCGGAGGAACATCCCACTGGAGTTCCGGAGTTCCTGGACGCACATTCCAGGTGGCACATCTGGAGGGTTGGGAATTTCAGTGGCTGCTCCATGGTGGGGCCAAATGAAAGGAAAAGCAGAAGTGAATCCCAGGAAAGCTGGAGACTTTGGATGGGTAAATCAAGAGGCAACCCTGCACCCACCAGATCTTGGATCACGGAGCAGGAGATTCCGGTTGGGATGAGACACCACTCACAGCACTGGGATCGCGGGAGAGGAAGTTCCATTCCCATGCCACCATTTCTCAGGGTTAAAGGCACGGATGCATGGCAAGGAACACCAAATCCTGCTGTCTGCCTGGGATTTGGGAATGAGGTTCCAGGCGCTCTCCCCATCCCAGAGAGGGAGGGTCAGGTATACAGGGAAGAGACTCTGGAAAAGCCTGAGAGACGCTGGGAGGTACCACAGAATTCCAGGACGGTTGAGGGTAGAAGAGATTTTAAGGATCCTCTCATACCAGGGACAGGACACCTTCCATAGACCAGGTTATTCCAACCTGGACTTGGACACTTCCAGGGATAGAAGTCCTTGGGAATCTGTGCCAGGGCCTCCTCAGCACATCCCCATCCCTGGAATTGTCCCAGGCAAGCTTGGACCATCCCTTCCCAGTGGAACATGCTGATCCTTAAAATCCCTCCCAATCCCAACCATTCTGTGGTTCTCCATCCATCCATCCCAGCCTCATTCCTGATTTGATGGCAAATCTGGATCGGGGGACGTCAATATCCGTCTGGAAAACCCGAATTTAGCAGCTCCCTCTGACTCATCCGAGAGGTTTGAGGAGATGGTGAGGAATGATCCCAGAAAAACACGCCATTCCGGATCAAATCCCACCACGCTGGAGCCATTTTGGGAGCAAATCCCTAACACCTTTCCTTTAATTCCTGGGAATGGAGCCTGGGCTTGCTCCCACCCGAAATGAGCATCCCGGGATGCTCCTGTTGGATGGACCCCAGTGCCTTGGGGATCCAAAGCTTCCCAAATGAAGGATAAAGAGCCTTGAGAAGTCCTATCAGCTGGAGTGGAATATCCCACTTGCACGGGCCAGGAATCACCAAGCACTGGGAGATGCCTCTGGGATCCACCGTGAAATGGCAGGTGTTTGGGAAGCCAACCCAGTTGGGAAGTTAAGGATTATGGAGTCCAACTCCTGGCCCCGTGAGGACAACTCCAAAATCCCACCTGGAAGCGTTGTCCAAAGGCTACTGGAATACCAGTGCCGGGAGCACTTCCCTGTTCCAGTGCCTGACCACCCCCGTGGGGATCCTTATCCCAAAATCCAGCCTATTCCATGCCCCAGCTCCAGTTGTTCCCTTGGATCCTCCCACTGGTCACCCACCCTTTGTGCCACAACTTCCTTGCCCACGAGCATTCCCAGGCCTCTGGAATGCTGCGCCTCCACGGACGGACGAGCCAGGAGAAAAAATCCAATCTGAATTAAAAAATACTCCCTAAATCCCATTTTTCCTCCTTTCCAACCCCCTGAGGGACACGCTCCGTGCTGTCCCCGCTCTTGTGATAAATCCCCGCATTCCAGTGCAAAATTCCCTCCTTTTCAGTGAAAAATCCTTAAACTAAATAGCCCCACAGCCCAGCCCGCTCCGGGTTTCCAGCTCTTTTCCAACAGTAGGTCCCTTAATTTGGGCCACATGTTGCCGAGGGGGGAGAGGAAGAGGAGCGGGACGCGGGGGCGGCGGATGAAAAGCCAGGGAAGCGCATTCCCAGCACGGGCTAGAAGGGGCCGGAAGGAAAAGGCCCCCACCCGCCTCGGCCCGACCTGCGAGGGCCCCAATCCCAACCAGATGTCGGCGCTTCCAGAGCCTTCTCCTGGCAAAAGCGCGGCCATCAAAGGTAATTGGGAGCAGCTGAGCTCCGGCGCGGAGCAGCACATGGAAAAAAAACACCCCTGGAGCCCAGAGCAGGATGAGATTCCAGGGCCTGCTGAGCGCAGCGGGAAGGGAAGGCACCTGTCTGGCACTCGGGGGAGGGAAGGCTGGGATCAGCACACCCAAAGCGCTCCAGAACCTCGGAATTGCCACTGGAGCCAGTTGTCTGGCACACAGCGGACTCCCCAGAATCCCAGGTTTAATCCTGCGATTATCATAAGTGTGGAATGCTCTGGGATGGAAGGGATTGAAGGATCCAGTTTCCTGGGCAGCGACACCTTCCAGAGACCAGGTTATTCCAAGCTGGCCTTGGACACTTCCAGGGATCCATGGGCAGCCACAGCTTCTCTGGGAATTCCAGCCCAGTTCCTTCCCAATATCACATCTAAACCAGCTGGAAGCCATTCCCTGTGTCCTGTCCCTCCAGGTCCTCATCCCAAGTCCCTCTCCAGCACTGGGCAGGAACTCCTGGCTGGGAGAGTTGTGAGGGTCTGGGACAGAATTCCCAGAGAAGCTGCGGTTGCCCCATCCCTGGGAGTGTCCAAAGCCAGGCTGGAATAACCTGGGCTATGGAAGGTGTGTGGGCTGGGAATGAGATGATCTTTCTATTCCTCCCACCCCGGGATTCTCTGCTCCCCCCGGAATGCCATCCCAGCACCCCCCGAACATCAGCTGCCTGACTTTTCCTCCCTTCTCCCACCCTCCAGGATCCTCTGAAGCCACAGATCCCACTTGGCTCCAATGTTTTCCAGATGGGAAGGCTGAGCCCAACGCTCAGGAACGCCCAGAGTTAAAAAGGGGTCATGGAAATTAGAGAGGGAAGCAAAAATTCCACCCTGATGTCATTCCTGTGCAGCAGGACACGGTTGGAAAAGCAACAGGCACGGCCCAGAACCACAGCTTTCCCAGCCACACTCCGATTGCTTCCTGCTCCTTCACAGGATCATGGAACGGCTGGGCTTGGAAAGCCCTTCTCGTTCCACAGGGACACCTTCCACTCTCCCAGGTTGCTCAAAGCCTGGATTCATTACTCCATCCCAGGTCACTCCCAAAACAGTCCAGGTGCAACCCCACCCCCCCAGCCAGCTCAGGGGATTCTGCTCCAACACATCCCTAATTCCAGGATCCTGGAAAACCAGGAGGCCGAGCTTGCTGGACGGTCCCACCACAACACTTCCAACAGGGATGAGGGATAGAAAAGGGAGAGTGAGAGGAATGCAAAAGGAAAACACCAAGAAATGGGTGAGGAGATTGGATTCCACCCCTGCCAGGCCTGGAAACCCTTTCCAGGCAGGAATTTTCCCTCATGTCCACCCTAAATCCCTGCAGGAATGGGGACTCCAACCCTGCCCTGGGCTCCCTTTCCACAGTGTTGGAATTGGCTGCCCCATCCCTGGAATTGTCCAAGGATAAGGCTTGGAGCAACCTGGGTTGTAGAATGTGTGGGGTGGAACAAGATGATCCTTTCACTCCCTTCCCACCCAAGCCATTCCACGATCCCACAAAATGAAGGTCTGATGAGCAGAAAGGATCCCAAACCGGACTGAACCTTCCCAGAGCCAGATCTTTAGGAAGAGGCGGGTCCTGCTCCAAGCCCAGCACCTCAACCCTGTCCTGGGGGACAAATCCCGAGCTGTGCCCTCAGCACAAATTCCCTCACAGCTGGGAAGGGCCGGAATGTGGCTCCAGCACTTCCAGGGGATCCACACCGAGGGAAGGGAACGTTTGCTGGAAAACACACCAGTTACTTATTCCCCCTTTTTTTAGGATGATTTCCGCTTTAGCAAACACCAGGATAGCAAATGTGGGATGCGAGGAGGCTCCCGCTTTAAGCTCTGCCTAAATGCCACAGAACTAAGCTTCCAAAAATCCATCACAAGCTCAAACCACTGGAATTTCTGGGGATGAATCACTGGAAAAGCAGCCAGAGAGATTACGGCACCACAAGGTTTGGAGTAAAATCAATGGATACTGAGATGAGCGGGAACATTCCGGGTTCAAACACCACCAAGGGACACCGAGGAGGTTAAGATGGCGATTTAGGCTCGAGTTTGACTTCAGCTTAAACCTGGGCATGTGGGAATGGGCAGACTGGAGGCAGGAATTAAAAATAACCCGACTGCCGGGAA